AGATGTGTATAAGAGACAGGTCATATTTTGCGAAAGGAGGGGCTAACTTCACGCGGGTATGTTTTTTTTTTCATATTGTTATTTATAATTTTGACTACCAATCATCGAGAATGGGCTACCAAATACTGCCACGACCACCAAGCGAGTGTTAATGATCATTTTTTAATTTTCAACAATGGGGGGCCAACTTCACACAGCTGAATTTTTCATATTAAAATATTCAAACAGCCTTATCGAATATTTTTCTCATTATTACATCGTTAATAAGTAACTTAACTTTATTGCATAATTATTATAAATGCTCGGCCAAGAGCAATTTCGAAAAAAGTTGCGTATCGAGGATCTAACATCAATTGTGGCAAAGATTATTGCTTCCTTCATATATTCGGAAAGCATCAGTGATTAATTCTTTCCATCATTTTCTTTTATTTTTGTAAAGTAAACAATTAATTTAAAAAACTTTTCTGTTAAATTAATTAACAACAATTAATAATACGCCTTTAAAATTAGAAATATATACGAAATACTTTTTTAAAGGATTTGTCTATCTTGAAAATATATTTCTAGAAAAAAAAAGAATATTCTTAAAAATATCTCAGTCTTTATTTCCTAAGAAGTAGATAGTTCAAGTTGTTTTTATTCGGGGTCTAAAGATATATCTCTCTCTTTTGCGGTGTGACTCTTGTCCGTCTAAGGAAATGCGAAGGACGGCGGTCGTTGTCGGATTACCATTGTGAAGAGGCTTTTACTTGGATTGTTAAACATTAGAATTATTAATAGCTGTATCCACTCTGCGGGACACTTTGCTTTTACACTTATGATACTGTCCCGCGACACGAGTCTCGTCTGGTTTTTTGCCGCTTTTATGAATATTACAAATATTTTTATGCAAAATTTCGCCGCGTATATTTGAAGCCCTATATTATTCTGATACATTTAGCTTGGACTATAAGCGTTTAAAAAAAAAAAATCATCAGAGACAATGTTATTTAAACACGTGCAAGTTTATGCTCTGCATTCTGGCCACTGGGATGGGTCGCTACATCCTATTCTATTAAAATCTTATGCATGTTAACATAATCGCTTATGGCGTCCTTTAAATATGTCATTAATATTCATTGTTCACAGCACCGCCGGTATTTTCGTCGCGTATATATGCAATACTAATTAAAACAATCCGCCATTCGGGAACTTTAATTTTACTGTGCAGCCGGCGGTATATATATATACTGGTATATACAGCTGCTCTCGAGTATGGGCCGGCTTCATTAAAAAAACATCGAAGCGCATTCTCTCCCGCTGCTGGGCGGCTTCATTTGCAAATGGCCCCATGCGTCACCGTGTAAAATAAAGCACGACACCTCCGGTTATATACATTACGTCGCGAATGAATAAAACCGATAACTTGACACCGGAGTGAAGAAATTCTCCATTAGTATGCCGTTCCTGGAGTGACAGGAATTTTCCTTGTGCATCCGCGGACAATCCCGCCGACACGAAAATTGCATAAAATATAATTTTCTCTTAGCTTTAATGCGCGCCGGGATGGAAACGATAATTGAATTTTTGTGCTGCCGGAAGCGTCGTTATTAGTTTGAATTGTGTAACGCAATTTGCTAGGAAACCGACAGTTTCTATCACCGGCGCGTCTAATTCTATTTAACGTCCGGAAGCGTTCTCTACAAAGTATAACAGAAATTTTCTATACGCAGGATGAAAGGCAGTAAAATTATCCTACGTTTAAGTAAGATGCAAGATTGAAAAGAGACTCTCTTCGATCTCCTTCGTTATTACTTATTTAGTTACTCTTACGTCATTATTTTACTTTCACGATGTACTCCCAGATAGCACACAAAGCCCAAAAGAATTCATTAGTATATTCAGTTTTATGTCATCAATTCTGAGTTTATTTTCAGGTGCAAAAAGAATCCCTTTTAGAAAAAGAATTCTTTTTGCATCTGAAAATGACCTCAGAATTAGTGACATATGTGTAACTGAGTTCTTTTTTCATTCTCTGTGCTATCTGGGCTCTCTCGGGCAATCACATTTCTGTTGTTTTAATTGAATTTATTCGCGTGTTTCATTTGTTGTCGGAACGAAGAGCGAGGAAAAGTTCGTTATATAGCACCTAATCGTTAAATATTTTAATTTTATATTACGTTTACGATGTTTCTGCGTATTGCATAATTACGTTACAAAAATTAAACGGAGCATAAGTCAAACGTAAAGTAAAACAAAGAAATTTTATGCAATAGCTCTGAGAAAAATTAAGCATCACGTGGGGAGGGGTGCTAATTTAACAGAGGTAAAAGCACGAGGCTAGCAATATTTCTGAGGTATTTGTGTTCATTAAATGTAGTAATCTATTTGTAAGTTTTATCTATGTGGGAATGCAACGTTTTCTCGTATTACCAGATGCAAATATGTACGATCTTGAAAGGCTTCATAAAGAATCTCGCAAAAGTTATAACATCTTTTCGTCTTCTAGCTGCATGCGAGAAGAAATTATAATCTACATCGCTATTTCTTCGCCGGGATGCCGAATAAATCCGGGCGTGACGACAGGACATAATATCGCGTTACCGTTGCAACGCATGTGTCTCGCTCTTAAAAGACGTGTGCGGGTTTACAGCCTCGCGATATTCCTATATCGTCTACGTGGTATTCGGACGAATATGGAATATGGACACGTGTGTGCGATATTCGCGTCGCTCGGATACTTGCGGCGTTCTTTGGAATCCCGGCGATATTCTACGCTCGGATTCGCTCCGCTATTACCGGTGTACCGGTAATTTCCGCGGAGCGCATACGCACCGAGGCTCGATGAGAAATTCATAGTGGCACGCCGAACATATATCGTCGTCGTACGTCGTGTGTACGATATGTCGACGTACCGTATTTATATCGTGCAAAAATGAAACACACGGCTTCGCCGTCGCCTGGAAACGTACTGCTATCGATATTAAACTAACCGGAACAGCTGTTTCGGGCTTCTATAAAACGTCGCGCAGCGTGTGCACGGTCCTCCGCCTTCTTTGCAGAAGGACGAGGAGAAACTCGGGGTTTCATATCGGAGGTTCACCCAGCGAGATATATACTGTGCTCGCGAGAGGCACGTTGCTTGAATTTCGATTTATCCACTTTATCGTCATTTTCATGAGAAGACTTGTTTTATATTAACTAATAATGTACGAATAGAAATCATTTACGTATCTCTTGGTAGTCATCTTTTTATAGTTATCTCTTTGATACGAAGAAGTTCGTGAGAATCAAATCAAAACCACGTGAGTAAACACATACACATATATAATAATATTCTTTCAAATAATATTGAAATGTATATTTAATCATTTTTATATAACAATTGTTAGATTTATAAGAAGATAAAATAGGATAAAAAAATAATAAAAAAATTGTTCTTTATTAATTGTATTAAAGTCAAACGTGATTTAAATATGTGGTTTTACGACTACTTTTATTTTACTTGTTTTTATAAATAATAGTGCAAAAATGTAATTCCTTCTCACAAATAATAAGTATTATAAACTTTTCAAGGATTTAATTAGATCAGTCAATTAATTTTACTTATAGAAACGAATTGAATAAAATTGAATAGATACGCATGGTTTAGAAAATTTAATGGTTTCTGGACTAATTAGATAGACTTCGACGTACGTAATTATCTCGAAGCTTAATCGCGTTACGTAAAGTTAGACATTCGGTCAAATACCAGTGATTAATCGAGTTGGCCCTCCAATTTTCAGGTCATTAATCCGAATACTAATCCGCATTCGGATTATGCTAGTGCCGCTTTCTACGCGTTCTATATATAGTGGAACCATGTGCAAAACCATTTTGCAATAGAACGAGACTGGCGGCTAAGAAACTCCGTCATCTTATCCCGGCGAGGGTTTTATCCGGGCGAGAAGATCGAAGAATGTCGCTGACTGTACAGGAAATGATAAAGGAGCCACTTCATCTCTCTCGATAAA